CAGTGGTGCCTCGCAAGACGAAATTAATCCGTTCCGTGAGTCTCTTCTTGCGGTTTTTTCGTCTTGCAAAGCACGGCTATTAGCGGCTTAGCAGCTATTAGCGGCTTAGCGGCTATTAACGGCTTAGCGGCTTTAAGAAAAAGGAAACAAACTCACAAGAACTTGCAAGACGTTTGCCTTGCAACGCAAGCCCATAGGGAAATTCGTCTTGCGGAACGACTCAAAAACGGAAAACTCTTACGTCTAGCGAGTTTTTCGTCTTGCGAGGCATTCGTCTTGCGGGGCACCACTGTATGTGGAAACCTCTAGATTTGAAATGACTTGAATGTAGCCTGTTTTATAAAGGCAAAAGTCACATATGTTGCTTCACCCCCGTTTTGCTTCTGGCCATGTCTCATTGGTATGCAGCTCACAGAAGGTTGTCTCTGAGGGCATGTGGCCCTCCCAGTGGAAAAGGTCACCCACCCCAACTCAGAGGTAAGTCCATAGGAGAAAGGAAGAATAGCTGTCCTGTAGTAGAAGGGATGCGGGTGGCGCTGTGATCTAAACCACAGAGCCTAGGGCTTGCCGATCAGAAGGTCGGCGGTTCCAATCCCCGTGACGGGGTGAGCTCCCATTGCTCGGTCCCTGCTCCTGCCAACCTAGCAGTTTGAAAGCATGTCAAAAGTGCAAGTAGATAATAGGTGCCGCTCTGGCGGGAAGGTAAATGGTGTTTCCGTGCGCTGCTCTGGTTCGCCAGAAGTGGCTTAGTCGTGCTGGCCATATGACCTGGAAGCTGTACGCCGGCTCCCTCGGCCAATAAAGCGAGATGAGTGACTTCCGGGGTGGCACCACCGGCAATGGCGGACTCCCTCTGAACTGGAGGGACTAGCTCCGCGGAAAACGGGTCTTCTCCGCTACGGCGAAGCGGGGACCCACTTAAAAATCACAGGCGGATGAAGCCTGTGACCATGGGACTCGGCGGGCACCTTTAGCGCCCCCCCCAACCCGCTAAGGAACCCACTAACGGGCTCCGAGTGAAGAGGGGGAAGTGGCGCGGTGCTGTGAGTCAACTGCTATTTCCGTGGAGCGAAGCCGCATAGCTGTTGCCGGAGAGCGCTGCCTTTTTCCTGGGACAATTTGGACTTTAAAATAAGCACCCGTGAGTACTTAGACTTTGAATAATCGGACATCAAATAAGGACTAGCGAGCAGGAAAGAGTTGGATTTTAAAAATTCTACTCTAATTTGGTACGGAATGGGAAGGTCTAAACAGGAAGTCAGCCTTCCGTTCTTTTGTAAACAGAATAAAGCAAAGACAATTTAAACTAGAGCTCAGAAAATCATTTTTAAAAGATTGGATTTCACCATTTAAAATTGTGGAACCCCCCTTTGACAGCAGGAGAAGGGGGGGGATCTTTTTGGATTGTTTAAAGTGACTTTAAAGTAAAGTAACTTTCCTCCGTCCTGATCCTGGAGCGGGGTGTCAGGACTGACGTTTGAAGTTCATTGACCAAAGACAAGTGTTTTTGACAGATAGCTAAAAGAAGAGAAACATAGTGACTCCACTGTTCCCTTTCGCATTTTAAGGAATATATATGGACAAAGTATCTTAAAAAAGGAAACTTTGTTGCAAGAACAAATAGAAGTCTTCCCCTAGGGGAGTCTGTGAAACTGTAACTAACTCCAGGGAGCCGGCAGCTGTCACAGATTACAACCGTGGGAACAGGCATCTGACCTTGCAGGACAATGTATTCAGAAGCTTTGTTGTGTGCTCTCTATAAAACAAATGCCCTACTGGAACAATTACACGAGAAGGTGAATTGGATGGCGACTTCGACTAGAAATTTTGAACAGGCAGTGGGAAACTTTGAACAGACAGTGGGAAAATATGTGGAGCCCACTCAGGACTTAAATCAGGAGTGTGTCTTGACAGAACAGGCCCAACAGGAATATGATTTTTCGGATTTGACAAATGAACTTGGAAAAAGCCAGATTTGGAAAGGAAAAGTTTGGCTTGGTTTGGAAATGGGGGGCTGGATTGACCCCCCCCTATGCTGGGATGTTTGGACTTTTCAAATAAGGCAATGGGCCGTGAGATGTTTGGGACTGTGGGGGCTCTTAATTTTGGAGGGTCTTTGAAACATGCTTTTAAATACTACATGGAATTCAGTGTTGAACATGGAAAAGGGGCTGATCCGTTGAGAAGGGTCAAAAACATTGTCAAGCTGGAGTTACCACGAGCAGGAGACAAGGGAAAATACAGTTACAAATATGAAGAAGAGCCGCGGAAGGGACATGGAAGAGACTTGAGGACTTCGGATATAAGGTTGACAGGTTAATGGGCCAGATCGACGGGAATAAGGACTGACAAAACCCGGAACCAGGAGGAAGGGACGTTGGATGAAGATTGGATTTGTTTGTATCTCTTTTCTCTACCATTAGAACTGTTTTATAAAATTGATGAATGTTAGAAAAATGTTGGAATGAAATTACTTGGCTTTAGCAAAGATGTTTAAAGAATTATGAAAGAATATTATGGTTATGAGAAGTTGGTAAGGATAAGATTTAAGTTTTAAGCTTTAAGGTTTATTTTATTATAGAAAGATAAGATCAAAACAGATTAGGGTAATGCAATGACAGAATATTATGAAATATGGAAAGGATTTGCTGGGATAATTAATAAATAGGATACAAAGAAAGGGAGGAGGAGGAGGTCTAAGAAAGAAGGCAATGACAGTTAAGGATCTGAAAATAATGAATTTGTTTTTAAATGTTTTTAAAGGTTTGTGATGTATTTTTGTATTTTTCTTTTTTTTTCCCCTCTGTCACTTTTTCTTATTTTGAATTTTTTACTCATATGGTGGGAAGGGGTTTGTTTTTTTCTTCTTCTTCCTTTTCTACTTTGTCAACTATTTTTATTTTGTACTTTCTTCTGTTTCTATTTTATTTTTCTCCTTTTTGTAACATTTTGAAAATTTCAATAAATATCTTTAAAAAAAAAAAAAGAGATGAGCGCCGCAACCCCAGAGTCCTTTGCAACTGGACCTAACGGTCAGAGGTCCCTTTACCTTTACCTTTAGTGCATCATTATCACCTGCCACAAAAAGACTAGATTGGTTCTCAAAATGTGATTGGAGTAGATGAGGGAGCCATAGAAGATAGCCAGGTTATACTTTTGATTCTGGCAGTTGGGAGATTATAAAAAGGGACTGTTTTGGGCATGAAAACATGAAACAAATATATGTTTATCTTGAATGCTGTTGTGTCCTCAAATTTTCGGTTACTAAAGGGAATGTGCTAAACTTTAACACTATGTAATATTTATTATTTATTCATTCATTTGTTCATTCATTCCTTCATATTTATATACTGCTTGATTGTAGAAAACCTCAGCGTCTCACATTATATGAGCACTATGGTAAGAGACTGGCAATTGATAACCTATAACTTTATAAAAATGTCTGGATTTAGATAATGACTGGTTCTTAGTTAATGGCCATTGTTACCTTTGACTATAGATTTAGTACAGAAATACGAACACTTACCTAGGGCTTTTAATCTCTCTGTCTCTCTCTCTCTCTCTCTCTCTCTCTCTCTCTCTCTATTTTTTTTTTTTAGAACCCAAGCAGAATTTACGGAACTTGATCCTCCAAATCCAGACAACAATCACTGATCCTGAGAAAGTTCAGGGAAGGCTTAATAAAGAAGATAAGGTATAGTGGAGAATGCACAATATTTAAATACAACAATTATGGATCATAAATATGCATTTTTGTGTGCTGTCCACCATGTTTTGAGATGTTCCAGTAGCAGTGATACCCAGGTTTTGGTTTTCATTGTTGGAGAGAGCATTGGAGACCTAGAGTGTTTTTGTAATATTTCCTTACTTGCAACTTTGCAAGTAAAGCAGAGGCAAGCAACATGTACAGTGGTACTTCGGGTTACAGATGCTTCAGGTTACAGACTCCGCTAACCCAGAAATAGTACCTCGGGTTAAGAACTTTGCTTCAGGATGAGAACAGAAATCGTGCTGCGGTGGCAGCAGGAGGCCCCATTAGCTAAAGTGGTACCTCAGGTTAAGAACAGTTTCAGGTTAAGAACTGACCTCTGGAACGAAATAAGTTCTTAACCTGAGGTACCACTGAACTACTACTGGGCAGCAGATGCCAGTGCCTGATTAGCTACAATTGGTTGGTTAGTTTCCCATATGACACACTCACTTTCCCCCCTCTGTGCAGAATATTTCTCTGAAGGCCTGTCAAGCCAAGTCAGATTGGCTTGAAAACACAAAAGAGGCTACTATGCAAGATTTTGTGGAGCAGAAACAGTTGCTGGAGGACATTATGCTTCCCATCTTCACAAAGTTGGCTACGCCCCGTGAGTACCAGATCCCCTACTAAATGGAAATATTTTTCTTTGTATTTTTATTTCGAAGAATCTTTCTTATGAAGATGTGCCGATGTACTACTGGGTATCTGCCTTGAAACCCTGCACATTCCACACGATGTGGAATTAGGTTGTGTCTCCCCATTAGTGAAAACTGTAATACGAATGGGAGTTCTGGCCATCTGCAAGGTATCTGATTTGGCCACAATGACACTAACATTTGTTATATCCCATTTGGATTATTGCAATGTGCTCTACGAGGGTCTGCCTTTGAAAAGTGCTTAGAAACTTTGACTGGCTCAAAGAGCTGCAGCCAGATTGCTGACTGGGGCTGGTTATAGGGGGCAGACAACTCCCTTGATAGAACAGCTCCATTGGCTTCCAGTCTGTTTCCGGACACAATTCAAAGTGCTGGTTATGACCTATAATTACGAAAGGGCCTTCTCAGTGATTGCTCCTGTACTTTGGAACTTCCTCCCTAGAGAAGCTAGACTGGCTCCCTCCATGTTGTTCTTCCGCCAGCTGGTAAATACTTTCTTGTTCCAGCAGGCTTTTGGAAACTGCTTTTAATGAAAGGGCTGATGTTGTGCTGTTTCTATTGTTAAGTATGTGTATGCTTTGAACAGATTTTATATAGGTATATCGTTTTAATTTTATAATACAATTGTAGAGTTGGTAGGGATCCCAAGGGTCATCTAGTCCAACCCCTGCAATGTAGGAATCTCAACTAAAGTATCCATGACAGATGGCTATCCAATATCTGCTTTAAAATCTCTTGAGGGAGACCATTCCACTGTTGAACAGCTCATATTGTCAGAAAGTTTTTATTGATGTTTAGTTGGAATCTCCTTTCTTGTAAGTTGAAGCCATTGGTTTGAGTCCTAACCTCCAGAGCAGGAGACAAGCAGCTTGCTGCATCTTTAATGTTACAGTCCTTGAGATATTGGAAGATGGCTATCATCTCTTCTTAGTCTTCACTTTTCCAGGCTAAACATACCCAGCTCCTTCAACCGTTCTTCTACGGCTTGGTTTCCAAGTCCCTTGATCATCTTGGTTGCCCTCCTCTATACATGTTCCAGCTTGTCAACATCCTTCTTAAGATTGTGGTGCCCAGAATTGGACACAGCATTCCATGTGTGGTCTGACCAAGGCAGAACAGAGTGGTACTATTGTTTCTCCTGATCTGGACACTAGACTTCTGTTGATGCAGCCTAGAATAGCATTAGCTTTTTTTGTTTCTGCATCACACTGTTGGCTCGTGTTAAGCTTGTGGTCTACCAGGACCACAATGTCTAATTCTTTTTTAATTATTGTAGCATAGTTCATATTGGTAAATGCACACATTCACCACCTGTCAGAAGTATGCTCTTTAATCTACTATGGAAGACACTGTACAGTTATAAGGAGGACCTTAAGGTCCATAAATACTAACACCCTAGAGGTCCCAGGCCCTAAGGAAGACAGATTAGCCTCAACCAGAGCCAGGGCCTTTTCAACACTGGCCCCGGCCTGGTGGAACACTCTATCTCATGAGACCAGGGCCCTGCAGGATCTGATTTCTTTCTGCAGGGCCTGTAAGACAGAGTTGTTCCACCTGGCCTTTGGCTTGGAATCAACTTGATCCCTTCCCCCTCTTTCCTTTTTCCTTTCTCTTTCTGTGATGGAACTCCTATTTGGGGACTTCCCTGGCTTTTTTCTGGCCCATGTAGAACCACTGGCAGTCATCTTTGAGAATTCCTGAAGAACAGGCGAAGTCCCGGCAGACTGGAGGAGGGCAAATGTTGTCCCTATTTTCAAAAAGGGGAAAAGAGAGGACCCAAATAATTACCGCCCAGTCAGTCTGACATCAATACCAGGGAAGATTCTGGAGCAGATCATTAAGCAAACAGTCTGTGAGCACCTAGAAAGGAATGCTGTGATCACCAATAGTCAGCATGGATTTCTGAAAAATAAGTCATGTCAGACTAACCTGATCTCGTTTTTTGACAGAATTACAAGCTTGGTAGATGAAGGGAACGCAGTGGATGTAGCCTACCTTGATTTCAGCAAGGCATTCGACAAGGTGCCCCATGATATTCTTGTAAAGAAGCTGGTAAAATGCGGTCTTGACTATGCTACCACTCAGTGGATTTGTAACTGGCTGACTGACCGAACCCAAAGGGTGCTCATCAATGGTTCCTCTTCATCCTGGAGAAGAGTGACTAGTGGGGTGCCACAGGGTTCTGTCTTGGGCCCGGTCTTATTCAACATCTTTATCAACGACTTGGATGATGGACTCAAGGGCATCCTGATCAAATTTGCAGATGACACCAAACTGGGAGGGGTGGCTAACACCCCAGAGGACAGGATCACACTTCAAAACGACCTTGACAGATGAGAGAACTGGGCCAAAACAAACAAGATGAATTTGAACAGGGAGAAATGTAAAGTATTGCACTTGGGCAAAAAAAATGAGAGACACAAATACAAGATGGGGACACCTGGCTTGAGAGCAGTACAAGTGAAAAGGATCTAGGAGTCTTGGTTGACCACAAACTTGACATGAGCCAACAGTGTGACGCGGCAGCTAAAAAGCCAATGCAATTCTGGGCTGCATCAATAGGAGTATAGCATCTAGATCAAGGGAAGTAATAGTGCCACTGTATTCTGCTCTGGTCAGACCTCACCTGGAGTACTGTGTCCAGTTCTGGGCACCACAGTTCAAGAAGGACACTGACAAACTGGAACGTGTCCAGAGGAGGGTAACCAAAATGGTCAAAGGCCTGGAAACGATGCCTTATGAGGAACGGCTAAGGGAGCTGGGCATGTTTAGCCTGGAGAAGAGGTGGTTAAGGGGTGATATGATAGCCATGTTCAAATATATAAAAGGATGTCACATAGAGGAGGGAGAAAGGTTGTTTTCTGCTGCTCCAGAGAAGCGGACACGGAGCAATGGATCCAAACTACAAGAAAGAAGATTCCACCTAAACATTAGGAAGAACTTCCTGACAGTAAGAGCTGTTCGACAGTGGAATTTGCTGCCAAGGAGTGTGGTGGAGTCTCCTTCTTTGGAGGTCTTTAAGCAGAGGCTTGACAACCATATGTCAGGAGTGCTCTGATGGTGTTTCCTGCTTGGCAGGGGGTTGGACTCGATGGCCCTTGTGGTCTCTTCCAACTCCATGATTCTGTGATTCTAGGTCTGGATAGTT